TCAGGGTCTCACCCCACACTGTCCCCCAGCCCTGTTTGGGGTCACCCCAGCAGGATCACGGTTACCCCACACTGTCCCCCAGCCCTGTTTGAGGTCACTCCAGCACTGTCCCCAGCAGGGTCAGGGTCACCCCACACTGTCCCCAGCAGGTTTGGGGGGTCTCACCCCACACTGTCCCCCAGCCCTGTTTGGGGTCACCCCACCTGTTCAGGCTCTCACCCCACCCTGACCCCAGCAGGTTTGGGGGGTCTCACCCCACACTGACCCCAGCAGGTTTGGGGGGGTCTCACCCCATGCTGTCCCCAGCCCTGTTTGGGGTCACCCCAGCACTGTCCCCACCTGTTCAGGCTCTCACCCCACACTGTCCCCAGCAGGTTTGGGGGGTCTCACCCCACGCTGACCCCAGCAGGTTTGGGGGGTCTCACCCCACACTGACCCCAGCAGGTTTGGGGGGTCTCACCCCACACTGACCCCTCCACTGACCCCAGCAGGTTTGGGGGTCTCACCCCACGCTGACCCCAGCAGGTTTGGGGGATCTCACCCCACACTGACCCCTCCCCAGCACTCACTGACGATTTTGTCCACCGAGTCGTGGTCGTCGAAGGTGACGAAGGCGAAGCCGCGCTTTTTGCCGCTGCCGCGGTCGGTCATGATCTCGATGACCTCGATCTTGCCGTACTGCCCGAAGTACTCGCGCAGGTGATGCTCCTCCGTGTCCTCCTTGATGCCCCCCACGAAAATCTTCTTCACCGTCAGGTGTGCCCCGGGCCGCTGCGAGTCCTGGGGACGGGATGGGGGGTCAGTGGGTGTGGGACAGGGGGCACGGCCACCATTGCTGTCCCCAGGGCCACCACGAGACAGTGGGCACCAGCAGGGTCAGTGGGCATGGGACAGTGGGCAATGGACAGAGGGCACGGCCACCATTCCTGTCCCCAGGGCCACCATGGCACAGCGGGCACCGGGAGGGACAGTGGGCATGGGACAGCGGGCATGGCCACCATTCCTGTCCCCAGAGCCACCAAGGGACAGAGGGCACGGGGGGGGGTCAGTGGGCATGGGACAGCGGGCACCGGACAGTGGGCATGGCCATCATTCCTGTCCCCAGGGCCACCAAGGGACAGCGGGCACAGCCACCACCACCGCCCCATCCCCATCCCTGTCCCCAGTGCCATCAGCGGGAGCAGCGGGCACTGCCACTGCCCTGTCCCCAGTGCCACTGCCAGGGATGTCCCCAGTGTCCCTCACCTCTCGGGACACGGCCCGTTTGGGTTCCACCACCCTGCTGCGTCCCCAATGTCCCCTCACTGTCCCCAAAGTCCCCTCAGTGTCCCTAATGTCCCCTCAGTGTCCCCAATGTCCCCTCAGTGTCCCCAATGTCCCCTCAGTGTCCCCTCAGTGTCCCCAGTGTCCCTCACCTCTCGGGACACTGCCCGTTTGGGTTCCACCACCCTGCTGTGTCCCCTCAGTGTCCCCAATGTCCCCTCAGTGTCCCCAATGTCCCCGGTGTCCCTCACCTCTCGGGACACTGCCCGTTTGGGTTCCACCACCCTGCTGTGTCCCCTCAGTGTCCCCAGTGTCCCCAATGTCCCCAATGTCCCCTCACCTCTCGGGACACGGCCCGTTTGGGTTCCACCACCCTGCCGTCCACTTTGTGTGGCCGCGCGTTCATGGCGGCGTCCACCTCCTCCACCGACGAGTAGGTGACAAAGCCAAAGCCCCGCGAGCGCTTCGTGTTGGGGTCCCGCATCACCTGGGGACAGCGTTGGGGACAGCGTTGGGGACAGGGATGGGGACAGCAGGGATAGCGTTGGGGACAGGGATGGGACAGGGACAGGAGAGAGACAGGGACAGGGACAGCAGGGACAGCATTGGGGACAGGGACAGGGATGGGGACAGGGGACGGGGACAGCGGGGATAGCATTGGGGACAGGGATGGGACAGGGACAGGACACAGGAACAGGACACGGGACACCATGGGGACACCATCAGGAACAGGGACAGGGGACAGGACAGGAACGTGACACAGGGACAGGGGACACCATGGGTACACCATTGGGGACACAGGGGACAGGGACAGGACACGGACACCATCAGGGACATAAGGATGGACACAGGGACAGGGACACAGACACGGGTGACACCCAGAGGTGACACAGATGAGGGGTCACCCGCAGGTCACACCCGGATGTCTCCCAGGGGCGCAGTTTGGAGGGGCTGGGGCCGATCTGGGGGTCCCACAGAAGGTTTGGGGTGTCCCGGGGAGGGATTTGGGGTCCCAGAAAGGTTTTGGGGTGCCCAGTGAGGTTTTGGGATCCCCAAGAAGGATTTGGGTTCTCACCATGCAGTCGGTCAGCGTGCCCCGGGGAGGTTTAGGGTGTCCCAGGAAGGTTTTTGGGATCCCCAGGGAGGTTTTGGGGTCCCAGGAAGGATTTGGGGTCTCACCACGCAGTCAGTGAGCGTGCCCCAGGGAGGTTTAGAATCCCCTTGAAGGATTTGGGATCCCCAGGGAGGTTTTGGGGTCTCTCAGGCTCTCATCACGCAGTTGGTCAGTGTGCCCCAGGAAGGTTTGGGGTGTCCCAAGGAGGGTCAGCATGCCCCGGGGAGGTTTAGGATCCCCAGGAAGGTTTTGGGGTTTCCCAGGAAGGTTTTGGAGTGCCCCAGGAAGGTTTTAGGGTCCCCAGGAGGTTTTGGGGTCTCACCACGCAGCCAGTGAGCGTGCCCCAGGGAGGTTTAGGGTGTCCCAGTGAGGTTTAGGATCCCCAGGAAGGTTTAGGGGTGTCCCCAGGAGGATTTGGGGTCTCACCACGCAGTCGGTCAGCGTGCCCCAGTGAGGTTTAGGGTGTCCCAGTGAGGTTTTAGGATCCCCAGGAAGTTTTTGGGGTTTCCCAGGAAGGATTTGTGGTCCCAGGAAGGTTTTGGAGTGCCCCAGGAAGGTTTTAGGGTCCCCAGTGGTTTTGGGGTCTCACCACGCAGTCAGTCAGCGTGCCCCAGGGAGGTTTAGGGGTGTCCCAGTGAGGTTTAAGATCCCCAGGAAGTTTTTGGGATCCCCAGAAAGGTTTTGGGGTCTCACCACGCAGTTGGTCAGCGTGCCCTGGGGAGGTTTAGGATCCCCAGGAAGGTTTTAGGGTCCCCAGTGGTTTTGGGGTCTCACCACGCAGTCGGTGAGCGTGCCCCAGGGAGGTTTACAATCCCCTGGAAGGATTTGGGATCCCCAGGAAGGTTTTAGGGTCCCCAGTGGATTTGGGGTCTCACCACGCAGTCGGTCAGCGTGCCCCAGGGAGGTTTAAGATCCCCAGGAAGTTTTTGGGATCCCCAGGAGGATTTGGGGTCCCCAGGGAGGTTTAGGGGTGTCCCCAGGAGGATTTGGGGTCTCACCACGCAGTCGGTCAGCGTGCCCTGGGGAAGTTTAGGATCCCCAGGAGGATTTAGGGTCCCCAGTGGTTTTGGGGTCTCACCACACAGTCAGTCAGCGTACCCGAGGGAGGTTTTAGGGTCCCCAGGGAGGTTTAGGATGCCCAGGAAGGATTTGTGATCCCCAAGAAGGATTTGGGGTCCCCAGGAGGATTTGGGGTCCCCAGGAGGTTTTTGGGGTCTCACCACACAGTCGGTCAGCGTACCCCAGGGAGGTTTAGGATCCCCAGGAGGATTTGGGGTCCCCAGGAAGGTTTTAGGGTCCCCAGTGGTTTTGGGGTCTCACCACACAGTCGGTCAGCGTGCCCCACTGCTCGAAGTGGCTGCGCAGGCTCTCGTCCGTGGTCTCGAAGCTCAGGCCGCCGATGAAGAGCTTCCGCAGCTGCTCCGGCTCCTTCGGGGACTGCGGGTGGGAACGGGGGGATGGAGGGCTCAGGGGGGGCTGGGGATCCCAAAATACCCCCCTAAATCACCCCTGGAACCCCAAAACACCCCCCAAAATCACTCCTAGAACCCCAAAATCACCCCTGGAACCCAAAAATCACCCCTGGAACCCCCAGAATCACCCCTGGATCTTAAAATCCACCCCTGGAACCCCAAATTCCCCCCTGAGACCCCAAATTCACTCCTGGATCCCAAAATCCCCGCCTGGAATCCCAAAATCCCTCCCACAGGTGCTCAAACCCCAAAATCCCTCCTGGGATGCCAAAATCCCCCCCGAGACCCCAAACTTCCCCCTGGGATCCCAAAATCACTGCTGAGACCCCAAATTCACTCCTGGCATCCAAAAATTCCCCTCGAGACCCCAAAATCCTTCCTGGGATCACCCCCGGATCACCCCCCACCATTCCTGGCACCCCAAAAGCCACCCTGGGAGCCCCCAGCCCCATCCCAAGGGGGT